CCAACTGAATTTCTGTGGAAAGCAACGCGAGACAGTCGTTCGTTCCCTTGCCCCTACGGAATCCAAATTGAGTATCTGAGAGTAGGTGGTTCGTCTCAACCCATTTGTCCAAGCGAAAAAGGATCATTTTCTCCAACAATTTTCGAATGCACGATAACATCGCGATGGGACGATACGAGTTATGATCTGAAGCGGGTTTTCCAGGCTTTTTAATGGCTATAACTCTCACTTGCCTCCAATCATCCGGAACAATATTGAGCTCCAGGAACTGACAAAACAAGTTCAACATGCGCCTCTTAGCGACGTCTGGGAGGTTCTTCAACAAGTTGAACTTGATTCTATCAGCCCCCGGAGCCGAATTGCCGCACGAAAGGAGCGCGAGTGAGAGTTCCAGCATTGAAAAAGGCTGGCTGATCTCGTCTACAGAATTCGTCGTTTCGCGAGGAATCATCTGTGCCGGCACGGAATCAGGACATACTTTTCGCGCGAACTTGAGAATCCAACGATCTGAGTACTCCTCGCTCTCGTTGTTCGAAGACCGGTTACGCATCCTTCGCGCCGCGTTCCAAAGCGTATTCATCGACGTTTCGCGCGATAATCCGTCCACGAATTGCCGCCAGTATCCGCGTTTCTTGGCTTTGATGAGGCTCTTGAGTTCGCGTTCAAGAGCCGAGTACGCTTCGAAATACCCGGGTGTTCCATGTTTCCGGAAAAGCTTAAACGCGTCGGACTTTTTACGATAAACCTCAGTGCATTGGTGGTCCCACCAAGGGGAAGGAGGTTTCCTACGGAAAGACGTTCCAGGAACCGGCCGAGTTTGAGCTCGAAGAGCGCTGTCCAAGATCAGATTGGAGAGGAAGTTATATTCCTCCAACGGTGGAAGCCCTTCTACCGACGACACGGCTTCCTCTATCGCGGTCTTGAACGTTGTCCAATCGATATTACGGGTGAGGTCGTACGCGACGTTAACGGGTTCCGACGGATTGAACCCACTGGCAATCGAAATTTTGATCGGCAAGTGATCACTACCGTGGGGATCCTGGATCACATTCCACGTGCAATCCAACGATAATGAGTTAGAGCAAAGTGTGAGGTCTAATTTACTTCCATTCGAAGATGGTCCAGCCAAACGTGTTACTTCTCCATTGTTAAGTATTGTCATATTGAAGTTATCACAGAGGTCATATATAAAAGTAGAACGGTTGTCATCATACAGTTCCCCCCAGCCTGTACCGTGGGAATTGAAATCTCCCATGATCAACCGTGGAGCAGGAAGTACCGAACATATATCTGAAAGTTGTTTTCGATTAACAACGGCTCTAGGAGGAATATAAACAGAAGCAATACAAAGGCTCTTACCTTTAAAAATAGCCTGACATGCGACAACTTCAATACCTGTAAATTGTGGAAGATTCACTCTATAGAAAGAATGGCACTTTTTGATCCCCAAAAGTACCCCTCCTCCACGCGAATCCGCACGATCCAGTCGAATAATGTTAAAATCATAAAAAGGAAGATCTATATCTGAAGAGAGCCAAGTTTCACAAAGAGCAAATGCATCACAATGATTATTGTGAACTAAAAACTTAAAAGAGTCTAATTTAGGAATAAGACTTCGACAATTCCACTGTAGAATTGTGATCAAATCCCCGACCTCGTTTGGAAAATTATCCATCGAAGGAAATGATTGCTGCAATGAGGGGCCACTTCAATGTCAATTGCTTCAAGAGGGTCTTCACAGTAGGAAGCATTGCCAGAACAATGCTTTTGAGAGGATCAGAAATATTCAGGTACTTGAGAATATCGTCCACAATTTTATCAAATGAGAACAACCCAGATGAAGAAGGGGCTTCTGTTCTTAAAAATGGGACATCAGGGGTTTTGGATGTCCCCGGGAGAGGTGGAAAATCCTGGGTATAGTCAGTTCTTCTGAATCCAGGAGGAGTAGAAACTTCCTTTTTTCCACCACTCCTTGATTTGGGCAAGCTGATTTGGGGTTCTTCATTCTCAACTTTCCGCGAACGGATGCGTTTTCGTTTCCGTGCTGAAAAACAGAAAGAAGTTCCCTCCTCAGCCAAGTCAGAGTCAGTCTCGTCATCTGACAAAAGAGAAAAGGGATTTTTGTCGTTGGTCGATGGCGTGGCCGTCTTCAGCATTTCTGCAAAAGACTGCCGGGAACGTTCCTTAAGTGAGCGTTGTAATTTCTCCCCGCGTTGTTTGTACACCGGGCATGACGAGATACCATGAGGAGTTCCCTTACAGTACACGCATTTTGGTGCGGTAGCTGCACAGGTGTCATCCCCATGCTTCTCTCCGCATTTGGAACAGCGTGCCTTGCTGCCACAGTGGGAGGCCGTATGTCCCAACTGCTTACAGTTTTGGCAGTTCATGACCCGGGGAACGAACAAACGCACAGGTAGTCGAAGTTTTCCCAGCTCGATGTAGTGAGGAAGGGCTGAACCAGAAAAGGTCACACGGAACGAGTCTGTGGGGGTAAAACTCTTTTTACCCTCGCTGACAGATACTGAGCCCAGTTTTTGGACATCCAGTATCTTCACCGGAGGAAGCAAACGGTTCTTGAAACGGCCAACCGCCTGCTTCTCCAAGATCTCGGGGGTCAGACTCGCTTCGGTGACCACACCTTCGATCTCCACATCACGAGCTGGGATGTAAACTCTGTACTCGAGCGTGAAGAGCTGGGAGGCAGCAATCTCGTTAGCCTGCTTCAGGTTAGAGACGGAGACACGAAGTTTATTGTGCCTAACCTTCGTGATTTCAGTCACGGCCGAGTATCGCTTCGTCAGATCATTAGTAATTTGCATTACATTCAAAGGTTTGTTTCTGGGCTGAAAGTAGACAACCCATGGGCCAGTCGAGTCATCTGGATAGGCTCGCGATCGGGGGTTTATCTGAGCCTGTCCTTTGCCAGACTGAGACGATGAACCAGGGAGAGATGACGTACGTTTTCGACCCTTCTTGCCATCGCGTGGCAAAGTGGTGTCATCTTCCGACAAAACGTCCATTTCGTCTTGCGACAAAATGTCCATTTTGCCGTACTAGTGGGAGCGAAAAACGCTCTACCACTGAAACGATAATCACTCGGACACAATACACAAAAAAAAACTACAAACACAGAACACAAACTTAAAATTTAACTGTGGGCGAAAGAGAGAAACAAGAACAAAAACTTATCTGATAATCCTATACTACTACCACCGAGCGTATAAACGGCAGCAGCGGAGCGACGCGCAGCGTGGATGATCTTCGATCAGCGTGTGCGGGCGGTCTTCGTTGGTGTGTGTTTATGTGAGGGTCGGCACTCAGCTGAACACACGATGATAGATGAGCGGTGTAAATGCGGAGGCAGATGCTGACACTCGATGACGATGATCCGTGTGCAGGTATGCGTTACCACGCACCGATGGTGCGCAAAATGGTTGGCGAATTGGCAATCGTAAAAACAATTTTCCTTCCGATGATGCCGAAAACACACTTTCTTCTCAGAAAAAACTCACTTTTAGTTAATTATTTAGCTGGGAACTCTAAGCGAGAAAAAACTGACAATTTAAATCAAGCGAATAGCGAGAAAACTTCCAAAATAGCGGAGCGCGAACTAAGTCGACCGTACTTCTTGCTAGGACGCAGTGGAATGGAACGTTGATAATGTCGGAGAAGAATTTACGTGATCGATTTGGTTTTCTGTGTGTTGGTCAGGTGATCTCCAGGTGGCTTTGTGGATATCCTTACGGGGGAAAAAGGTACTTCGAACTACCATACCCCGAGAGGCTGCAATGTTCACGCATCGTTGGCCGTTGTCGTTCGATACGGCATGCAGGCTGTTTGGCCCGATTGCCGGTTTATACATTGCTTCCCGTCCTACCTGATCGTTCATGTCGCCGATGACGATTTTGACGTCCCGTTGCGAACAGCCGTCGTACACCTGCTCCAGCTGCGCATAGAACGCTTCTTTCTCGTCGTCGGTTCTCCCTTCGTGTGGGCAGTGCACGTTGATGATACTGTAGTTGAAGAAACGGCCCTTAATCCGAGACAAATATAGAGGTACCAGACATGATTGGCAGCGTCAGGTACTCTATTTTGTAGTCTGTGAGAGAGAATCACAACTAGAGTGTCTTCAGAATACATGGCATGTTGAAAGATTTAGCTCGTGAGAGCAAATTTTCTCTCTCAAGTTTAATTCATTATGGAGCAGTCAGTCGAGCGAGTTAATTAAATGGGAGTGATCCATAATTGTGGGTGATCCGTTATTGTAGATTCAGTGTACACTGAAGTCTTTTTTTACACGGTTAGTGCCGCTGAGTTGCGATTTACACCTATCGAGTTGATTTCAATCACCTTATCCGTTTCAAGCTATAGGTAATCGAATGGCATACTTTAAAAATCATAATTTTGGGGTAAATACAGAAATTTGTCTAAATGCTATAATTACAAATGGCATCAACATCCGATTTTTTAAAAATATTTAAACATGTGAAAAAAAGAAATCTCAATAGGTTTTTTTTACACAGTACATATACCCTGTGTAAAAAAACATGAGTGTACTTCAAGGTTTTTAATTTTCTTTTTTAATTTGTCTTCTAGTTTGAAAAGTTACACTCTAAAAAATAATAAAAATAACAAGCGACGTAATCTGTTACAAACGATTAAGTTTTCGGTACGTAATTGCCTCACAGATGTAAACTTTACAAGTTTGTCATGTAACTTTACGTGCAATTTATTGTAAACTTACATGCATACCAGGTGAGGCACGTAAACTCTCATGTTAAATTATTAAGAAATACACGCACTTAGTTTTTCTTAATCTAGCGTAGTTTAGCATAAAATTTATTTACCTTTCCGTACGTACCGTACGATTTGATAAAGATAAACAAATTGTTGAGATATTGTTAAAAGTCTAACACTGCTTCTTGACGCCAAACTCGGCCTACGGATTCTAAACTCGGCCTAACGCATCGAAACGCTTCATTTGTAATTGAGAATATTGGGTGCAAACATTCATACCACGCGTTCTTATTGACTTCGTTCGGTAGCATTTGAACTAAAGTATCGTACCAAACGCATAATTTACCTGTTAAAGCCGAAATCATGAATTTATTCGATGTTTTCTGCTTGATAGGCCCTAAATGGACGCTTAGGCCGAAGTAGTTCTCTACCTTATTACTTAAAAATGTTTAGACACACAGAAAACCTTCTAACAGAACTGAATTCTCAAATTAGCGTATTCACATTTTCCATAATTTCCCAAACTTCCTCTACCATTCTGGCAACCCTGAATTGCATTCACTTGCCCACTGGCGTCCACTCACCCACACAGAGACGTACAAAATGCTCCCCATCCCTTGTCCGACATCGCTCGATCAACCAGGCAAACACACTGACTGACGGTAGCCAAACGCAAACCAAAATCCTACTTCTCGCATCGGAAAAGTCTGAGCATGCCGCTGCCGCCACACCACCAACGACGACGACGACGACGACGACTCGACAGCTCAGCTCAGTAGTATTTCAGTTCCTTATCCCGTCGTGTGCGCGCCGCCGTTCGTTGCTGCCGTTGCTTGGTCGTTCTCGTTGATGAACCGCGTCGTTGCTTCTGCTGGGGTGTGGAAAAAGGCTGGATTTTCCTCCCACCTCCACTAGCAAGAGCATCTCCCTAGGTTCCCCTTTTGCCCGGCCAGATTGCTCTGTGCTGCGTGAACCGTGCAGTCGTCGGGTTTCGGAGAGTTGGTTGAATCCTTCTTCTTCCGTGTACGTGTAGGTTCGCCGAATTTGTTCCGTCGTCGTGACAGTTGTGTGTTGACGGCGGCAGTTCAGTGTGAAAAATTCAGTCGACGGCGTGAAAATTTAACATTTTTCCTCGACCGGGGTTGACTGGGTTTTTCGATGGAAATAACCTCTGTCTGGAAGGTGTGTACGGAGCTGTGGAAGGGTTCAAAAATCAACTCGCCAAAGATCGAAGTGTGAAGTAAATATTTTGAAGATTCAAGTGAAATGTGAGATGGCATTGATGTCTGCTTCGGAGGGGTTGGTGGAAATGGAGGTGGATTGGCACGAAGGAGCAGACGAATTTTCGTGGATCGATTGGGAAGTGTTGTGTCAGAAAGCAAGGAAAGAAGCAAAGCAGAAAAGGGTGGTGTTAAATAATGAAGGTGTAGGGGTGGAAAAAAAGAAGTCGTGGAACTATGAAAGTTGGATGTGTTGGGGGTGCTGGGTCAGGTCAGGTCAGTGTGAAGAAGTGTTCTTTCCCGAAGATCAGTGTGAAATTTGAAATCAAATGAATTTGTGAATCACCTTAAATAGTACACGCAAAAGAAGCGAGAAATTATGTGCCAAAATGGGAAAAATGTGCTCTATGTACTTGGCTGACATATGACAGCTGCTGCTCCGGGGCGAAGAGGAAAATCGGGTCATGTACCAGAAAGCAAAAAAGAAAAAAAAAAGTGAGAAAACAGTGCAAGCCCATATTTTTAGAAATTTGCTGAGCACTAGTTTTTGGGCCTAAAAGCGAAAATTGAAGCGAAGCATTTGTTGGGATCAAAAGTACGACGATGAGAGTACGGATGGGTGAAAAGTGACGCGAAATAGAAGCAGTAAAATACGACAAGAACATATAAAATCGTGAATTCGTAACCTACACAGCTGTTTGTGACATGCCTGGGTGAATGAGAATTCAATACAAACGCGGGATGTAATTGTGAATAGAAACATGACATTCACCTCCTTTCGGCTGGCGTTGATAATGAAGATCGGCAGGCTGAGATTCTTGCAAGAAAACAATGAAATTTGATCGTCCGTGCAACGAATTTAACCGGGGCACAATTTCTGGCAAGCGTCGTTTTTATGTAACGCAGAACATATGATGGGATGGTCGTTCTTCCAACTGCTGCTGGCAATGAGCATTTCAAATTTTGCACCTTAAACAATTGAAACAAACCGTTGCTTATCGATGAAAGAAGCACAGTGCCAATTTAGTGATAATTATTTCGATTGGCTTATCAGCAGGAAAAAAAAATGCGACTGACGACGGTTATTGCTTCTTAGAGCACAGTATCGAGATCACGTGCTTTTGCATTATCGGTATTTTGGGGATCAAAATGATTACGCATTGTAAATCAAAGCTATCTGGTTCTTGACTGAAAGAGTAGTAAGTTCAAAATGTTATTACACTTCGTTGATTCCGTCATCAAAATGCGTACATCGTTGTTGGATATGGCAAGTATTTATTGAATACCTACAAAATGCAGTTGGATATGATTCAGATTAAAACTGGAAAAGCCACTTCCATCATGGTATCTGAATCCAGAATCAATTCCAAGGTTGACCAAAATGACCAAAAAGTACTCGCCATAGCCAGCATCGTTCATCATCTGCGATCGAATCACTGGAAATCAAAATTGTTCATGTGTGTGTGGTAGGATTCAGATGGAATCGCAGATATCTGCTTTCGTAGGGGGAGTCCTATCTTTGTTTACTAGAAGCGGAGCTGATTTGTGTTCTGAAGGAATTCTATTTACAAAATCTCCTGATTGGATTTGATGTGTATAATATTTACAGAGTAATTCTATTGAGGAAACGACCTAGAACGACCTTCCTCGATTTGGATAAATCTTCTAAAAGATCTAGATAAAGTTTTGACTCAGGAATGTTTCTCGAAATGGGGGAGTATTTTTTTTTCAAATTCGGTCATTTTGAATCTCAGCAAATCTTTAAAATGGAGTATTCGATATTTCTAACAAATTATATCTTTAAAATGTCACTTCCAATCGAAGTGACGTCTTAGATAGTAGGAAAACAATTGCTTTTCAGGAAAAAATGGCACGGACAAAAAGTTTAAAGTAATTTTGGGTAACAACTGAAAAAAAGTGACTCTCTTAGATATTTTTTGGTATACAACTTTTTGTTTATAATTTTCTTTTGTTTATTTTGCACAGTAAACGATTTTAAACTATTTGCTGTGTAATTTTTTTCAAAAAATTGTTTAAACATAAAGTTTAAAATGTTGTCAAAAATTTCTCGGCTTTTATTCGCTCGGTAGAAAGGTGACGTATTTATAACAATTTGAAGTGTGGGTATCGAGGGTCAGGGACGTAAAGGTTAAGAAGAGTAGTCGAAATATAAGACATTAAAAACATATTTGTTTGTTGCGGGTAAAAAGTAACGTTGCAAACTGGGTGATCGGGTTTGGAATCACAAAAATTCTGCGTGGGGACTAGGTAATTTGAAGGGGGAAATCTGCCATGGGCACACCAGTGAGTCCTTAGAAATGAATTCTGATGTCTGTGTTAGGGGATTTTAACTTTTTTTAAATTTGTAGTTACTACTCCGCTACTGATCATATATGGCTATTGAATTTTTTGTTGATACTACTTCCGGTTCCGGAGAAATAATGTGAAGACTAATTTGAATTCATGATTTAAAAAAAAAGTTAATGGCACATCTAATCAAGCTGAAATTTTCATAGTAAAAAGCTCGCATTAGCTTCTACTTGTAGAAGAAAAACATTCCGAACTGACGTTCGGTGTTAGAGATAGAGCAATTTACCCGTTTTACAGTGTACCTAGTCGTAACTAAAAATTTTAAAATTGGATTCAACACGTCTTTGTCTGTGACCAATAGCCAGTCACAAAAACTATTTCACCTGTTGAAAACATTCGCTCGGTCGAATGGTGACGTATTGGTAACAATTTGAATTGTAGGTGTCTAAAGTCAGGTTACGAAAAGTAGTCTACATCTATTTTTTTTAACTAGTTCGTTTATTGTGAAGGCTCAATAGCGTTAGCTTTACGGAACCGATAGTTCATTGTTCTTTGTTTGTAACAAAGTTCACTTAATTCTATGTCTAGTACGAGTTGGGCCGAATACTCGCGGCTTACTCGAGGTTAGAGAGGTAGGAGCTTGGGGGTCTACACACTTAGAAAATATCATGTAAATTTAGGTGCTCTGAGAGTGACATATACGAGCGTCAATTTTGACATAAATTTGAGTCATAACAGACGCGAAATATAGCTCAATCAAACGTATTTTTCGTCGAGCAACGAACTTTTCACTCTCGGAGCAATTAATTCTACATAAAATATTTGTTTACGTCTGATCCTTTATGTCAAAGTTGGATTCCGTCACGTGTAACATTAGTTATTTCTAAGTGTGTACATAATATATTTAACATAGGAGAATGCACGTATTCTCGACAATCTAAGGGGCATACGCACTTCTATGGGCTTTTTCTCGACATAAGACACACATATGCTGTGTTTGTTTGTTTACATTAATCTGCTGCCTGTTGCTCTATCCATTCCAGTAGATAGAATTGTCCAAAACTGTTTTAAAACTCTTTTACAACGCTCCAAACTTCTCAGGTGAGTATGACTATTTTCGGCAACCTTTCCATTTTAACTGCGTGTTGGTCTACTGTTCTATTATCGGCCACTTTGAAATCAGCATTATTTTATAGTGCGTAGGGTAGAGAACTACTTCGGCCTAATCGCCCATTTTGGGCCTATCGAGCAGAAAACTTCAAACAAATCTATGATTTCAGAGTTAACAAGTCAAATATGCGTTTGGTATGATACTTTCGTTAATAAGCTACCGAACGATGTCAATGAGAACGCATGGTATGAAGGTTTGCACCCATTATTCCCAAAAACAAAAGAAGCGCTCCCACCGAATCAATTTTTATCTTCATACGATAGGCCCAAGTGAATTCATTGGCGTTTCAATGGTGTTCCAATGCGTTAGGCCGAGTTTAGAATTCATAGGCCGAGTTTAGCGTCAAGAAGCAGTGTTAGACTTTTGACAATATCTCAATGATTGGTTTCTCTTTATCAAATCTTACGGTACGTACGGAAAGGTAAATAAATTTGGAAGCCATCAGTAATAATAACATTCCGTTTGGTGCTAAACTGCGCTGGATTAAGAAAAACTAAGTGCAGGTTGTGCTTAATAGGCCGGAAATGGGGTAGTTAACCCTATGTTTTTTTTTTATTTCAAGAAAAACCTGGCTAAATTCGTTTGCTCAGTCGTAAAAACCTAATCAGATTGAAGTTGAAAGACTAAGCAATCGGTTGAATACAGTGAAATTACCGTATGCATTTTGGTTGCCGAAATCAGTCATTGGGTGCCGAAGCCGACATTTACCCTTTTAGATTTGAAAATATGTCATCACTGAAAATTGAAAATTGGGCGTTTTTAATATTTTACCCCTTTTTCAAATATGGCTCATTTTGCGCCAACTGCCCGAGGTAAGTGAAATTTACCTCTTCTGATGTGGAACAAATTTGGAGGAGACATACCACATTTTAAAAATCTAAATTTCGATGCCGTTTAGAGCACCCTCGGTTCAAGGGAGCATTTTATATTTTTCGTAATTTTCAAGAAAGCGAATGACGCTACAGAATAGCATTGGGTACTGGTTTCATAAGCAATTTAGACAAGGAATCTATTATTTTTGTACAGTGTTGCCAAATATTTTTAATTCTGGTATGAAATCTTTGAACACAATTTTCTCAAAATGAAAGTATTTTATTTTTTAATTTGATGGCACCATCGGCTCTTCATTGTTTTTCACGTATGAATCACTATTTTTTATCTAGTTCGTTTGTTTGAAAGGCTCAATCGCGTTTACTTTACGGAGCCGATAATCATTGTTTAAAAAAATCACTTATTTCTGTGTCTAGTAGAAGTTGGGCCTAATACTCGCGGCTCACCCGAGGTTAGAGAGGCACATTGTCTAAGAATAGGGTCAGGGGAGGAGCTTGGGGTGGGTTTTCGTTTTCGTTGTCTCATCAGAGCGTTGTCGCCAGTATGAATGGTAGTGTGGTTCTAGCTTCGTATGGAGTTTTACCGACTATGGGGACCAGTGGGCAACAATGAGACTCATGGAAACAGGGAGACAAGACAAATAAAAACTAATAAAGGGAAAGGAATTAAATTCTAATACTAGCGATTTGCAGAAACACATAAATCAAC